TTTGAGAAGCATACATTTTACATGTAAGTGCCAAGTCGAAGTAGACAAAAAGAAAGAAATGGCAGGAAAAGACAATACATTCACATAACAGCACAATGTAAAATTTAGCTTAGAACTGTTTGCTTTACTCAAATTCGTTCCTGGGCAGCAGCAAGATTTGCCTCTTTTCCCTCTTATGAAAATAGAAACTCCCTTGGGGGGTAGTAGGAGTGAGCCAGCCAGTAACCCCCCAAAATCTGGGAAGGCTACAAACCATTTCCTAAGCCTACACAAGTACACAGATGGCCTGATGAAAAGAACTTCCTTTGCCTTAACATTTTTTTTTTTTGGAAGCCAACTATTGTTACAATTTAAACTATGAGATACAGATACCAAAAAAAAAAAAAAAATTTAAAATAAGAACAAATGTGAATACACAACCTAAACTTAAAAACGAAGACCTATTTCCTAAGAAATATTCATAGCATTTGTCAGATAAGCACAGAAATTAGGAACAAGGGATTTTCCACTGTTAGCCCAGGGAATGGGGGATGGAAGGTGAAAAAGGACCTACTGTTTTTGACCAGACAAAACTCATGGATTGTTTCCTTTTGCCTTTAGTGTTTCTCCCCCAGCCACTTTTGCCATAAGTATATCCCCTCTCCTCTTCTGAGCTAAAGAACGTAGCCACCATGACCTTACAGATTAGACTCAAAACAGAGCTGGCAATCTAGTCTTTAACTGAAAACCACTTCAGCCATAAGAATGTTTCCTTTTTCTTTAATTCCTATAACTTCCTCTTCTCTAGCTTCACCTTCCAAGTAAGAGTATGCCAAAACAAAACAACAACAAAAAAAGATGAGGAAAAGAGTACCTATAGACTACAAATATGGAAAATAATTATGAATTTGAAAATGAATCAAATTCTCTTCCAAAGGTCTCTACCACATGACAGTATTCAGGAACTCATAGTAGCCAAAATAAATTTTATGGAATTCCAAAAAGGATTCTAGTTGAGTAGGCAAAAAAAAAAAATCTATATCTAGATATAGATTTTTATTTTTAGGTGATGATATCCATGAGTACTTAAGCAGAACCCTCATATGCAGGCTAGTTAAAAGAGAGGTGTTCCCACTGATGTGAGATCAGGGTCCCCAGAACACAAGTTAGGCACTGTAACCCTTCACCTTCGCTAGTGCCTCCTAAATTCTCCCTTCTCATCAAGAGCATTGTGGACCATGTAAGCACTATCCTAAGGGCACTGTAAGCTGTGTTGGGCAACTACTGATCTAGCATAATGGTTGTTAACTGCTGGCAATTCTGCCCTTCAAGGGTTATTTGGCAACGTCTGGAGACATTTCTCATCGTCATAAGTCAGGGGTACTGTTGGCAGCTAGTGGGTAGTGGCTACCAGTGTTGATAAACATCTTATAATGCCCAGGACAACATGCCACATCAAAGAATTATCTGACCCAAAATGTCAATAATGCCAAAGCAGGGAAGTCCTGATCTAGCAGAAATCTCCTTCTAAACATTCCAGGGAGATGGCTTTCTAAGTTTCTGGACTGGTCTCATTGTTAGAAATGTCTTTATCATATTGAATCAAAATATATTTCTCTAAAACTTTTTACTATTAGTCTTATTTCTACACCTTGGGATCCCAAAGGAAAAATATCTAATCTTTCACCTACATGACAGATTTTCAAAAGCTGAGACTACTGTGATATCCCCCAAATTTTTCATTTTTGGGTTGAAAAACCATGTTGATGTGCTATCCCTGCTTCTCATAAAACAAAACAAAACAAAACAAAAACATAATTGCAGAAGTGAAGGCAAAAATCCAAATTAAAAGGAAACATTCTGAGATTATTAAAAATAACAATAGTGTAGTTACCAAATACTGACCACCACCAGCGATACCCTCCCAGGCACAGAACCCATGAGTGACAGAGTGGGGCTGAATTCTCAAGTTCATGTTCTTTGTGTGAATTTTACATCACATATAACTGTTCTCCTTTTCCTAACTCTGGCTCCTACTTCTGGTTACTCTTCCATTTGATCTGTCCCCTTTCCCCACTTCTCTCTCCCTCCCAATTGGGCCTGCAGCCAGCCACAGGCCTATCACAGCACTTGCCCGAATCACTTGCTTGGGAATCAGGTCAGGCCACCAGGAGCCCTTATGTCCTACACACTGCTCTTTTCTGAATTTCTCCTTTGCCCTGTGAAAGGATCCTAGGACAACCGAAAGAGAGTAGATCTAAAAGCCTCTTCTTGGCATGTGCCATAAGAGAAAAATTCTTGGATTTTCTGTTTTGAGGAGCATAAACATTTTCAGTGAACAATGTATACTAAAGAGTAACTATCTTCTCTGTTTTTACTGAAGCTGGGGGGTGATGAGAACATAGCGGTCCATTATACCATTATCTCTACTTTTGTGTATGTTGGGAAATATTTTTGTAAAAAAAAAAACAAACCTCTCTTCTCTATATTTATCATTCAGCAACCACCTTCCTTTCTTATCCCATATTCTCTATTTAATGCTATGGTGAAGAAACTTTTCAAAATAAAGTCTCAAGTATCACACCTTAAATATCTATAATTTTTTCATTTTTCAGTTACACCTCACTAAAGCTGGAAAAAAAAAAGACAAAGTCGCACACAAAGAAAGATTAACTTCAGAAGTAAATTTGATATGACCCCAAGAGTAGACCAAACTCTTTAAACTACTTAAATAAAGACAAACGTACTTGCACACTTTCTCCCTATTCCATTCTTCCCCTCTTTTTAATGTTACCAACTTCATGTTTATGGGCTATATGCAATCAGAGAAATGGAAACGTGTCTTAAACTACCAGAACTAAACACGGTGCTTCGGACTGTAGTGGATACAATTGTGTGAGAATGTCTTCATGATTCAGCTGAAGTGTCATACAGGAAGGTTTGTTTGTCACATTTACTCACCAAGGATCCTAAGGTCTCCTGGCACTAGGGCAATATTGGCATGCATATCCTAGAGCAGTGAAGGGCATGACATGCCTACTTGGCTCTGGTGATGGCTAGGTGCTGGACTCTGAGGTCCCGGCTTTCAATCCCACGAGGGCAACTAGGTTTTTACTATTCCTCATAACAATACATTTCCCCTCTCATGCTAGCCAGCCACTCACATGGCACCAGAAGAAAGTGTGTCTGGACTGTACCCCTCTATTATCAGGTCAAAGAAACAACAGTAAATTAATTTCTTCCCCAAAGAGACCAGTGTTGCCATTTTTTTTGATAAAATGGAATGCTGTCAATCATTTCACTAGATGCCAAACTACCTTTCTTTAATCATTAATAAATAAGTTTGCTACCTACAAACGGAATGCAAAATTTGAATGAACTAAAGCAAAAATATATTTTTCCTTTAAAGAAATGCTGTTGAACAAATCATGTCTGTTTTTTCTCTAACCCCCTGACACTTCCTTTTTGTTTCTTTTATCCCTTAAATATAGATTTTTTTGGCCTGTCTTCACGAGTACATGTTCTCAAGGGGCAAACTCACAATGAAAATAAAAATCATAATAATTGCTAGCATATATTTACATGTACCTCGCACCTTCCATGTTCCAGGCTTTGTTCTATATGCTTTACTTGTGGGAGTTCACTTAAACACACAACATACCTAGGAGTAGATACTGTTTTATCACAATATTACTCTGAGGAAAGAAATGCACAGAAAGATAAAGTAACGAGGCCAAGGGTTCCAAGTTTTCAACCTAACACATCAAATCTGAAAATGGTTGCTATTTTTGGGGCACCTGGGTGGTGCCATCAGTTAACCGTCCAACTCTTAGTTTCAACTCCGGTTGTGATCTCAGGGTCGTGAGCTCGAGCCCCGCACTAGGCTCCATGCTCATCGCAGAGTCTGCCCCTCCCCGGCCTCTCTCAAATAAATAAATAAATCTCGAAAAAAAACAAAGTTGTTGCCATTCCCAGTATAGCCCCACCCCTACATCTCAGCACTTAAGCACCCAGTGATTTTTCTGTCCCCCCATCTGCTTGATTTTATTTGCATATCTTAAGCATATATTTAAACATGTGGGTCCTGATCTTACTTTTGCTAGAAATTGGAAAAAAAAACTCAAGTCTCCATCATCAATGGGAAATATTAAATAAATTACAGTATTATCCTACTGTGAAATATTAGGCTGTCATTAAAAAAGAATGAGGCATATGCAAATAGAGTAACATGGAAAGCTGTCAATGACATATTGATGAGTAAAAAGAGCAAATTATAAAACAAATAATCCAGCAAATGAATGTCAAACATCTATATATGCCTAAGTATAGAGGAAAATGTCTGGAAGAATATATGCCAAATACTGGAGAAGAAAAAGGATTGAAAAGTGGGGGAAATGAGGAAAAGTGAATTGTTTACTTTTTGATAATACGCTCATGCTATACTTATAATGCAAAAAAGAATGTTAAACAATGTCTGATAGGCTAAAAATATTTGGTGAAACCATTACTTAGCCAGATCTTTCCCCCACCCAATATTTATTCCATTTTATTTTTTCAACTTTATTTTCCTTTCCCTCCCTCACACACAGTCTGGGCACCAATTACAATGGACTTTTTCTTTTCTAAACACTGCCTGGATTTTCTTATGCTTCCACCTGAACTCAAAGTACCCTCTTTGTCATTAAATTCAATCTCTCTAAAAAAACCATACATATTATATTTTGGCACATATTTCATAAAAGGAAAAATGTAAATATCCAGGAAATTTTCCATATTTTGAATCATCAATCTTTAATACATTTTAAATATATTGCTTCCTGAATTGTAAAGTGTCCAAAAATAATAAAGAGTTACAAAGTGTCTGAACAGATACTTCTTTGTATAAAAAATGGCTTTCTTTAACATTTAGGACATTGTGATTGCCTTGAATGATTTTTAGAATGAGGTAGAATACACACACACAAAAGAAAAAGATGCATGTCACTCTAAAAAATTTTAAAAATCAAAAACAAGTTTCTTACCATTGTAAGGGTAAATGGATGGTTTTCTAATGCAGACACACTGGGACAATGTAGAATAATATACTAAAAGACAACAAACATAATTTTTAAATGACCAAGAAAGAAGTGTAAGTATTCTAATGATGGCACGAATACTAATTTTTAAAAATTACATAAAGTTAAAGGAAATTTGGGGCACCTAGGTGGCTCAGTCAGTGAAGCATCTGACTCTTGATTTCAGCTTAGGTCATGATCTCAGGCTTGTGAGATCAAGCTCTGTGTCCAGCTCTGCGCTGAGCATGGAACCTGCTTAAGTCTCTCTCTCCCTCCCCTTCTGCCCCTCCCCTCCCTTAAAAAATTAAAATAAATAAATACATACATAAATAAAAGTTGCTAAATACTGACTCACCTGGCCAGGTCTTGCTTTAAAATTTTCTTTGATCATTCGGATTTCCATGACATCTGAGGGATGACTTATGACTGAGATGATGGTTACTGGTTTATTGCTCCGGATACACCTGTAAAGTCTTTCAGCACAATACAGGCACAAAGGTCCAGAAATCCAAAGCCAAGTCTAATGGAGAATTTTTAAAATATACTTTAAGAAATACTTGTGTTGAAGGAGTCTTTATATCCTGCTCAATTTTTTATTATACATTACAGTAATGGTATTGTAATCTGTATTTTAAATAATAAAATGTAAAGAAAAATCTGTAAAAAATAAGGTGCTCACTGTGACTTATTCAAACAAGACTAAATATAAAACAAAAGAAGTAATGTACCACATTAACAGGTATGCATACTTTTTTTCATATTTCCTTCTGTGCATACAGAATAAATACATAATGTATGTATATACAATAACTTCATCTAAAAAGAGAAGAAAGGAAGTTAAATGCTCAATAAATCTGAAGACAACTTTAGAAAAAAATGCACCAGTCCAATGTTTGTTAAAAAAAAAGAAAGAAAATCCTGGATATATGTATGAATACTTTTTTTTTATTTTAAGGTATTAAAATGTTTTAATTTTTCAGGAGTAATTGGAATTCTTCAAAATGTCAGGTAAGTTTTTTTTTTTTTTACGTTTATTTATTTATTTATTTATTTATTTATTTTTTTACTTCAGTGTAGTTGACACACAATGTTATATTAGTTTCAGGTGTAAAACTTAGTGATTTGACAAGTTAACACATTATCCTATGTTCACTGTAAGTATGGCTACCATCTGTCCCATTACATCAGTATTACAATATCATTGTTTTTCTTATGCTATGCCTTTTACTCAACCCTGGGTATTTTTAATGCATATAATATATGCATAATGTACACATACATAATGTATATACAATATAAAATGTGTATATGAACGTATTTTAAAATATAGAGTATACTAAGCATGTTGCTTACAACTTACTTTTACATAATAAAAGTAATATGAACAGAAAGTATTTATAGAATTTGGAAAGTGTAACGATTTTGCATGTGTGTTGGATGGATAGCTCTGATCCCAGGATAACCCACTGCATAAGCTCAGAAATACAGAAGCCTGTCCTGCCTGTGTGGCCAACCCTTTTCCTAGAACTGCACGCCATATTTCCCCCATCACTGGGAGGCCGCCGACCCAAACTTATTTTAATGGTTACTTTTTTAAACCTTATTTACATAGCTATTTCAGACCTTCTTCCTTCCATGCAGACAGATCATGCCTCTTCCTGATATTTAGTTGCATGCTGTGTGAGCAGTAGGCGAGCCCTGCAATGCAGCAGGCTTGCAACTTTGAGACAGTCACTTATCCTTTGAGCATCAAGTTCCACATAATTAAAACGGGACTCACAATACCTTCCCTGCCTAACAGCTAACATTGTGTGAAGCCAAGAAAACTCTGCAAATGGCAGTCTATGAGAAACCTAGAGGATTATTATTAAAAATAAACACAAGACTAACATGCTCATTCCGAAGTCATCTACAAATTCACTCTACTTTTTGACTCTTCTTTCTTCTCTTCTGAAAAGAGACATTTGGCCTCACTGTCCCATAGGCAAAGAGTGTTAATTCCCACATGGACAGCTCCCATACCCACATGGGAAGATTAGGGCTCTTATGGAACTACTTGCTGGGTATTTGGGTAAGAACTTTTCCAAGAGCAAGTATTTTAGTCAAAGACCTGGTTTTGGACTCTACTTCTGCCTGTATTAGGTTGTAGAGTTTGCTCAAGGTCTTTTATGTATTTAAGTCACAATTTCTTCATCAGAAAACCAAGGAAGATAGTAATTGCTTCAAAGGGCTATTGTGAATATTAAAAGAAATTATGCATACAGTACATTTTAGCACAGTACCTAGCAGATGATACCAAGCATTCAATAAATTGATTTTATAATTTATCATTTATGCATACATAATATCATACCACAATAATATACTATACCATAATAATAATTACAATTAGTAATAGTTCTTTCACTATTGCTTTTATTATTCAACCTACTTTTCTCAGTGGATAGGGAAAATGTCTTTGTCACTTCTCTTTAGGCAAGCACCAGTGCCACAGTATGCAAAGATTACATGGTCAGTTGAGCAGAATTTTCCATATTCTATAATATCATAGGTCTTTCTCTTTGACCTGACAGCTGCCTCTAATGGAAAAATAGGTGCTATCTTGCTGCTGAAACATCCTGAAATGTTCTACAATTGCTTTATAAACCTCCAAAAACATATTTAAATGCAATGCTGGTCAATAATTATGGAGATACGGACTTGAGGAGACCATCAAAGATATAAAATTAATCTGACCTGTGGAAAATTAGCTTGAAACCTAGGCTCTTCCATACAAATGTTCACGGATCTGTTTTGGGTAAGTTCATCTGGTTTTGAAGGTCCTCCAGGGAAAGATTCATGAAAATGTTCCGAGCCATGGTCTGGTAAGTAAACATGCTGGTAGTGGGTTCCATTAGGATTGATGCAGCCAGGAGGGTGGGTATCTAAATTAGCTTGATACTTCAGCAGCCCTCTGAAATTAAAGTAAGGGAAAAAAAGGAAGATGAAAATGAAACTGAAATCAGAGGACATGGTGTAAGAAAACAGCCTCTTTTTCTTATTAACTTTCCATAGCATTTATCTGAAAAGTGCTTTTCATATATCTCACTTAGGAGCAATAGAGAAATCCTAAAACTTTTAATGAATTCTTTACTATGGGACTAAACCAAGAGCATTAGCCCTAAACAAATGCTACAAATAAATGGTAGGGAAGAACATATCAATCTTTCCAATTATTCTTGCATTTCACAGCCTTTATTTCAACTCTATTAGGCATGCATATAATCATATACCAGTTTTCACTTCAATAAATACTATAATAATGAGTACTTTTGCTATATTTTCAAACATAAATGGGAAAGTATAGGGATCATATTTGATTTGGCTAAGACTGGATAAAATAGGCCTTGCTGATTTACAGAGATATTTTTAACAAACATAGTAACAGGAACTGGAAGCTTGCAACTCCTTTGGTCTGAAAATAATTAATATACAGCAATTAGACCCTACACATGTTTAGTTTTCAATTTCTCCATAACCAAGACTGCATAAAAGACTCTAAGATAATTGATCAGACAGGAAAGCCTACAACCCTAAAATACCATTCTGACTGTTTCATATTTTGTGACCTTCTAAGATCACCATTCAACTTTCTGTGTTTTGTGTTGTTATTAATAAAAAGATAAGTAAGATCTACTTCACTGGGATAGTGCATCAAGTGACAGATTATGCAGAACATCAAAAAAGATCCACACTGCATAAGCAAATCTTGAAGAAAATATTAAGATTTTGAAAAGCATTGGGAATTTGACAGTGTGTTTTTTTATTTTAAAGATATTAAAATTTTGGCACCCAAAATTATTTTTCCTAGTTAGCTAAGAATGTATTTTTATTTTATTTTATTTTATTTTTTAAAGATTTTATTTATTTATTTGACAGAGAGAGACAGTGAGAGAGGGAACACAAGCAGGGGGAGTGGGAGAGGGAGAAGCAGGCTCCCTGATTGGGGGCTTGATCCCAGGACCCTGGGATCATGACCTGAGCTGAAGGCAGATGCTTAACGACAGCCACCCAGGTGCCCCAAGAATGTACTTTAAATGACTCTTCAAGTTACCAAATAATTAACCTTAGTGTGTTACAAAAATGTATATTTTAAGTACATCACACCTAAGATGATTTTATAAATGATTTTACAAATATGGTATTTTGCAACAACAAAACTTATAACATGAATAATAAGACTAAAGAGGCCCAATATATGAAAATTAGAAAAGCAGTGGCCAAGGCAGTCTTTGCTGGAATTTACCATCTACTCAACCTGATCATTCTCTTTTTGGTTATGTTCATTCCTTTTCTCCCCTTTATAAAAATATTTTATTTAGTTATTTGAGAGAGCACACAAGCAGGGTGGGAGGGCAGATGACGAGGGAGAAGCAGACTCCCCACTGAGCAGGGAGCCCAACGAGGGGCTCGACCCCAGAATCCCAGGATCATGACCCAAGCCAAAAGCAGATGCTTAACCAACTGAGCCACCCAGGTGCCCCTCTCTCTTCTTTCTATATTACTTTCTTCCTTATAACTAATCATAATGAGATTATATAGTATAACATTACTATGTGCTCATTAGAGAGACATTAGAGAGCACACAGTATATGTTATAGTATACTGTATACACTAAGTACCAGGCTGTATTATATAACATCAATGGCAACCCACACACCCATTTTTTAAAGCAATGCAGTAGATATGGCCTAGGTACAGAATAAATTAGTGATTATTATAGAAATGTAAGCCAAGTACAGAACCCTTCATAGAATTCTAGTCATATAATACAATCACTGTGGTATTATACTTGGAAAACTTATGAATTTGATTCACCTCCCATTATAAGTAAAGATTTACCCAAATCTGTTGCTCCTACTGACCATCCCAAGACTGACAGGTGGGTAGGCCAAAAATCTCAGGCATTTATTCTACTGGCCTGAAATTGAACAAGATTTGGCATAATGCACTTGGCACTATTCTAGGTGATTCTACAAAGTACGATAAGGAGTCAAATCTGGTCCCTGAACTTCAAATACTTAAAATCTAGTTGAGAAGACATCTTCAGAGAAGCTGAATGGAAGTCAGACCACAGATAATTGGGCTATAGTATTTTAATAAGACCTTAGCAATGTGTGGTAGACATCAGGCCCCAAACAGAGCAATTTATATACATTTCATGTTATACGCACAACAACTGATTGAAATAGGAATTATTGATCCCATTTTACAAATTAAGAAACAATTTTAATAAATTAAATAGCACCCCAGGGTCACACAGCTGATAAGTGGCAGAGCCAAGATTTGAACCCAGTTCTGACTCAAATTCTATGCTCTTCACCTGTCACTATACCTCGTGTTAGTTCACTGGATGCTTACAACATACCTATGAAAAAGGTAAGGAGAGGAAAATTAATATTTAAGAAAGGATGTCAGGAATTTTTAAACATCTATTTCTCACTTAAACTTGAAAACAAAATAATCATACAGGGTAAGTGTTTTGACTCCCATTACACAGATGAGAGATTTAAGGCTTTGTTTAGGTAAGAGAGTAACTAAATTGTTGTCTAAGCACAGGATTCAGAAACCTCATCTTCCTCATTCCAAAAACCTATATCATATAAAGCAAATCAGTTGATTAAAGAAGTTAACATCAAGGAAAGAGGTTTAAAATAAAAGCGTGGAAATAAAGTCAGATAGTGCGTGTGTGTGTGTGTGTTGGAAGGGGGTTGCTTAACATCAGGCAAAGGAATGTTATTTACTCCTCCTAAGTCTTAAGTGTACAGGTGGGCAGGACCGCATGTTCTAATGATCCTTAGAATGACAAACAAACGTTGTTACTATGCAGTACAAATCTTCAGGCCAGCTCAAACAAAGCATTGCTGTTCTTGGTATTTCAAGGGGTATGTAATATTCTAAAATCCCTTTTAGGGGTGCCTAGTATATCTCAGTGATGTGGGCAACAAGGAAGATCAGCATTGTCCGGCATATAAACACAGAGCTGCATGTTCCTGAAAGCTCTGTTGCATTTGGAAAGAGTGCATTAAACTCTTAAGAAACACATGTATATTATGTCTGCTGAAATAAATTAGATACTAGGGATTTAAAACAATCATAAAACAATAAAAATCATACATAAGATATAACTTAATTTTAACAAATGTGCTCACAGTAAATGGAATAAAGAGATGATATCTGATATTTACCTATCAATCCAAATATATCCATAATACCTAGGCTACATTTCTATTAAAAATTCTTCAGAATGAAATTATTTTAATGGGCACCAAATATAATGTTTAAAGAAATACTATATTCTAAGAATGCATATTCTAAAAGTTCCAAGAAATTCTGTACTAGTACGAAAGGAATGAGAACTATTTTTTATAGTATAGTGAAAAAGTAAGTTATTGCATTTAACTGGACTTGAAAAATATCGTAAAATTATTGATTTGGTTAGAAGTATACTTCCTCCTTTTCTAAATCTATAACCAGATAGAGCTGTACATTTTTGTTCAATGCATACTTTGGTCTTTAATTTCAGGATATTGTCCATAGGAAGAACAGAGTGGTAGGGGAAGGCCTAGTATGGGGGAAGGTCTCTGTACTTTGGTCTCTGACCTGGCCACTGGCTGACAGTGTGGTCTTGGGCAGATAACAGCTTTGAATGTTCTCACTCATTCTAAGATGGGGCCACTGATCTTTACCACACAAATTTGTTATAAAGTTTATAGAAACAGGCAGTAAGGCATGAAGCACCTTACTGGTATGCCCAATACTTATCCTTTCAACACAGAGTTCAAAATCTGCCAGTGTCCTTCCATGTGAACCCATCAGCATCTTTGCCACCTTATCTAGCCAAATCTAACTGAGATTCTGTGCTTGTTTTTGTTTTTCTTTAATGAGTGATATTTTTTATTTGTTATCATTGTCTGTCTATAGATCTTTTCTCTCTCATCCAAGTTTCTTTGATGGCAACAATTACAAAATGAGACCAAAAAAAGAATATTTTAATGGAGTTTTAAGACAGGCAACCTATGCCATTTAGCTTGAGAGTAGCTTAAAATAACATACAGCTCTCAAATTAAAAGGTATTTTTCTTTTCAAGATTTATTTGGGGGGGAGGGGCAGGGAAGATGTAGAGAATCTCAAGCAGACACCTGGCTGAGCGCAAACATGTCCCATATATCAATACTCACTGCCAAACCCTGTCAGCCTTCTAGCAAGTTTCTGGCACATGGTAGACCTTTAGGGCATTTCTGGTGAATTGATTTTCAAAGCAAATAATCACATATTTTTTTTGCATATAGCAAGGGCATAGAAGTTAAAATAAAGAAAACATTCTTGTACCTACTGTTGTATCTTTCATAAATAAATGATAAATAACTGGAAAGGAAAACGATGTCCATGAATGGTAAACAAAGTCTTGCCAAGTTAAGACAGTGATATAACAGGGGTAGGGGAAGAAAGCACACAGACAATGTAGGAATGGGTTTGCTTATTACTCATTTTTTTAGTTGTATTATGTTCCAAAGGAGAGATTTTGAAATATCTTTGGAATGTTTAGTGTTCTTCTATCATGAGAAATCAAGGATTTTATGGTGTATCAAAATAAATGGTTGTGGATGCTATTGTTTTGGTACTCATAAGGATTTCAAGATGTGCTTTCAAAACTCAACAGTCTCAAAAAATAGGTTTCTTTCTTTTTTTCCTTTTTTCTTCAAGAGACATTATAGTTATACAACCATTTTTTAATGACAAAGTTATAGAAAATAATATAGTACACAGGATAAATCCCACTAGGTTACAACACAGAAATAATAAAAATATTTTATGGCAAAAATTAAATATTACAGAATGCCATGCCTGCAGGTAGGAGAATCACAAAATCATTCTTACTTTAATTGAATGTTAAAAAGTATCTAACAAATG